TCTGTTGAAAAAAAGTTTTCAACTTGAATATATTTTTTGAATTGAAAAAAATAAACGTATTATTTATCTATATTTTTTGGTTTTTAAATCCAACTCTAAAAATAGTAAATAGAAAATATGACGTATGCTAGTTGGTTTTTGTTTTCAAAAACATATATAGATGTAACAATACAGAGACATACAATCTCTATTACTGCTTTGTTCATACTTTTGGTGATTTGAATTGTTTTTATATATTAAGAACCACAGATTGTAATACTTTATGTGGATGAATCATGCTGTAATTATAATATGAGGATGAGGCATGCAGTGATTGTGATATTTTAAAGTTTCAAACTTTCTTTCTTTGGATGATGCATGCAGCGATTATAATACTTTTTTAAGTCACTGACTATAATACTTTTTTTTTTTTGAGGAAGTGCATAAGTTGAATTATGTTAAAAATTTATAAAATTTTAAACCGCCAAACCGATTCGCATCCATCTGTCAAACCGTCAATCCGCTCAATCCACATCCGTCGGATTGGCAGACGGATGCGGATTGATTTTCTCCAATCCGCCAATCTAACGGACGGATGGCGGATTGGAGGTTTCATGGCCGCAACCGACCCGCGTCCACCCCTACTACACACACATGGGGGGTTCGTCATTGATGAAAAAAAAAAATAGGCCAATCAGCTCCCACTGGGGGTTTCTTCCATCCCTATCTTTTTCCTTTTCAATGCTTCATTTAATAAACTTGGTAGTACATCTTTAGTTTTAAGGGTAAAATATTTTGCCCTTTTTAGGATTGATCATTTTCTCACTTTGACTTTTAAAATTTGTTTTTGGCCCTTCAAGTTTTAAATTTTTTTCCGTTTAATCTTAAAGTTAATTTCTATTAAAAATTAGATAGAAAATAATATATTGACAATCACGTAGTATAAAAATATTTTATTCTATATAACTCATATCTCTAACATAAACTTAAATTTAAATATAATAATATATTTTTTATATTATATGACAGTGATTATGATATTTTTTATTTAATTTTTAACAAAAGTTAACTTCAGGAGTGAATTGAAAAAAAAAACCTTAAAATATAAAAAGTCAAAGTCAAACAAAAAAAAACTTAAAGGTTCGTTGGAAAGTGGGTTGGCTTTTTGACTATTTTAGTGTGAAACTAAAAAGTCTCGTTTGGGAAGGACTTTTTAATTTTTTTGACTTTTTGTGAAAGAAAGAATATAATGATTGGTTGGATCTAATATTTTGTCTTATCAAGTTAAAAAACTTATTTTATTTTTTTGTGACTATTTTAGTCAAAAAATTCTAAACCCCAACTTTCCAAACGAGCTCTTAAAGAGCTAAAATAAGAAAGTAGTCCAACACAAAAAGAACACAAAATATAATTTATCCTTAATTTTAAATATTTTAGAATAAATTACAAATATATTCCTGAGATTTTGTGGGGTTAGATTAATAAATCGTTGCCCCCGAGATGAGTACATTAAACAAGGGTGGCTTGGAATTCAAGTAATTATATTATGACAATTATTATATATTTAATTTAATGTGATCATTTAATAAGTCATTATCCGTTTCGGAAGCCAAAGGTTGAGCTTTTTTAGTTGAAATAGTCACAAAAAAATAAAATAAATTTTTAATTACAAAAAATAAAATATCACAGTTAATTCATAATTATTATATTCTTTCTCTTACAAAAAAATCGAAAAAACTTAAAAGTCTTTCTTAAACGAGATTTTTTTAGCCCAAAACTAAAATAATCAAAAAAAACAAAAAAAAGCAAAAAACTAACTTACTTTCCAAACGAATCTAATGTTAATTTTTTAGTTTTACAAAATTTACTAATGTAAATTTTTGCACTATAGAATTTATTTATTTATTTATGTTAGTGCGTAGGCAATTCCAAGGAGCATTTGGCTAGATAAATCTCAAAACAATCGGTGCAATCGCCAATTTCAGAGATGCAGACACTACGCATGAATCCAGTTAAATTGCCTACCACACTGCTTGAGAGTGATCAATGTTTGAGATTTCATCAATCACATCAGCACAAGTGAGTTTAACATTTATGTCATGTCACTGAGCGATAAAAAATGATACAAACTTTAGAGAAAAATACTTTAAAGTTCTAATTTTTTAATTCTAAAGTCAGTTTTAATGAATTGATAATAAGTCTCACCTATTGTGATATGATGTTCTAGTCTTAATTTTTTTTTTCTCCTTACTATGTCATTAGTATTGTATTAAAGCACCAAAATTCATATTCTGAACTTTAGCTGTGATACATTTATTAGATATGATACATTTATCATCATTAAGAGTTGTTTTGAGAAAATAATTAAAAGTTAATTTTTTTAAAAAAAAAATTGACTTCTTTTCAAAAGTCTTATAAAAAATATAAGGCCCCGTTTGGAGACTTACTTTTTTAGTCAATTAGCCAAAAAGTTACTAAATTAGCCAAAAAGCCAACAACTCATACCAAAAAGTCAAAGATTCTCTTTTCTTTCTACTTTTTACACATCTTTTCGCAATTAGCCAAAAAGTTATCCCAAACATACAAGTTTTTTTTACCTACCTTTTTAGCCAAATAGTCAAAAAGTTACTAAATTAACCGTTCCCAAACGAAGCCTAAGAGATGATATGATTCAAAATAAATTAAAAATTAAAATATGACTTTTAACTATCTTTCTAAAATATTCCTAAATGTGATATAAAAAATAATAAATATAGCGTTATTTCTTTGACCAGTAAAGAGTCGTAGTTCATTTATGCTACTATTATAATTACATGCCCTTAAAGAAACAACAACAAACAAACATAGGCTAATCTCTCCAGTCGAAGAAGGTTGTAGATGGCAGGAGGAGGGTGGAAACCGGTGCTATATGGCAAGGGTAAGTGTAGAAATTTAATGTATAAAGAGAAATAGAGAATTGTATAGATATTGATTGTATTATTGATTGATGTATATTGTGTAAATTACAAATATGAGAGGCTCCTTATATAGGAGATGTAGATGAAGTGGGCAATGTATAAAGAGAAATAGAGAATTGTATAGATATTGATTGTATTATTCATTGATGTATATTGTGTAAATTACAAATATGAGAGGCTCCTTATATAGGAGATGTAGATGAAGTGGGTGGAGCAGGTGAAGTGGAGTAGGTGAAGTGGGGTAGGTGAAGTGGGGGGAGTAGGTATAGTAGGTGGTAGTGGTAGTGGTAGGTTTTAACAGCCCCCCGCAAAGTCAAGGGGGATAGGAACTAACCAACTTGAGTTTGGAGAGAGTAACAAAACAAGAAAATAGACGAATACATAAAAGAAAAGAGGATAGGAGACACTGTATGGTCGTGTCAGACCGATGGTGAAGACACTGTATGGTGGTGTCATAACGTTGTAGAGGACACTGGATGGTTGTGTCAGACCGATGTAGAAGACAGTTTATGGGGTCATGTCGGACCGTTGTAGCAGACAATGTGTGACAAGTTGTTGTGACAGTTACGGAGTCTTGACCTTTTTTTGGACCCTTGGTAGAACAATACCAAATCAAGTCGGGCAGTTTACAAGAGTCTTGTCGGACCCATGAAGGAAGCTAAGCCGGAATCAATGTCGGACATTTACAGCAGTCTTGTCGCGACGCCCTAAAAACAGTCGCACCTCAAAAAGCTGTGCCCAAGTCTTTCAAAAGGTGTGCCATCAAAAGCGTGCCCAATCCCCCCCCCCCCATTAAAAAGGTGTGCCATCAAAAGGCGTGCCATCAAAAGGCCGCCCATGTTGTCGATCGAGCGCCTGAGCGGCGCATGATGCGCGTGTCCTGCCTTGGCTATTAACCCCCCAAGTTGAGGCAGAGGCTGTGCAAACCCAGTCTTGAAACCCCGAACATTTTGCATTCTAAATACTCTGATAAACACTCTGTAACCAATCCTTCTCTGAAAGTACCAGTCGGAAATCGTCTGCTTCGCTCTGATGAAACAACTCTCAGCAACCCAAAAACATGGCCTCTCTTCCCCGTTCAGCTACCCAGAACATGCCTCTTCTGCCGTTGGCCGTGCCACTCTCTTTCCCCGACCTCAACGGTCCACAAGAGAGATTAACTAGTTGCGGTGGCCCCCCCCCCCTTGAACTCAACCACAGCGCCCCAGGGTTTGCTCCGCTTAACTTTCCTATGCGTCTGTGCAAACGGATATGAAGCCTAATCAGTATACATTGAAGTCATGTGTGGAAACCATGACGGCGTACAAACTTGTACGCACCGGCCTTCAGAGTAGGACAAATGAGGTGCAGCAGTAAACGCCCAACTGCTCTGCTTCAAAGCATGTATGAAGATGCGCGAGCAGAGATATAGTTGCTAAAGGCAAGGAAACAAAGGAGCTGAAGCGGAAGGCCACCGTTATGTTCCGATTTGAGGTCGCCATATGCGCCAGGTGGAGGAGCAGGAGTAGTGATCGTGCCCAGTGGAGTGGGAAACACGGAGGCAAAAACCGCAAGGGCCGTCCAGGACGAAGGCAAGAAGAAGGAGACCAGGCGGAGAGTAGAAAGAGAAAAATCCTACCTGTTGGATGTGGTTGTTTTGAGTACCGTATGTCATCGTCTGTGATCACTTCTCTTTTTTTTTTTATTATATTTTGGGAGTGTTGTGTTGAAAAAATAAAATAAAATGAGAGAAAACAAGGGAGAAAGAAAATAGATAAAAAAATATGTATAGATGGATTATATGAAAAATATCAGTGTGATTGTTTCAAAAATAAAGTGGGGGTATGTAAAAAGGAGGAAAAGTGATTTGGAAAAAATAAATAAAAAATAAGTGATTTTAAAATCAAATGGAGGAGAGTTTGAGTAATAGAATATAATAAAAAGAGATATATATATATATAAAGTAAAGAAGGTGGGGAACAACATGATAAGGGTGTATTTTAAAATGATAAATAAAAGAAAGTTGAAGACAACATGATACTGGTGTGTATGGATGTGATAATGAGAGTGAAACAAACTTGGTGAGTGTGATTAAATAAATAAAAGAAGAATGGGTGTGCTTTCCTTAGTGCTCCTCTCTCTGCCTTCAAAGTCGAGATTGGTCTCTCCAAACGAAGGCTCAACATTCAAATCATTGTAGTCCTCTGAAAAGGTTCTAACCATGTGCCACAAAATTGGCCCCACCATTATTGGCTTGATAGATGGATGGCTGGAAGCCCTTGACAACACCAGCACCACATATGGCACCAAGGCACTGCATCACTATGTAGAAAACAGCCCTTGTTAGGGACAGCTTCCTTGCCAGAAACAATCCAAAGGTCACTGTTGGGTTAATATGTCCTCCTAAGATACCAGCAGTGCAGTAGACAAGGGCAAAGATCATACCACCAAAAGCCCAAGCAATCCCTTGAATACCCACAGAGGCACACTTGGTAGGTGCCCTAACAACACCCATGACAGTCAAAAGAGTGATGTATAAGAAGAGGAAAGTGGCCATGAACTCTGCAATCCCAGCCCTGTAAAAGGACCATGATTTCAACTCCCCTGGCTCAAACAAGGGAGCTGGTGGTGGCTCCTTGTAGTCCTTGTCTGTCTGAGCTGCTGTGCCTATTGGTTGTCTCTCCGTGAACTTGTTAGCTCCAAGCTTCACATCCTCTTCCTTACCCTCCATTGTTGCTCTGTTTTTTTTTTTTTTCTAGAACTGTGTTTTTCTCTCCCTTTAGAGATTGAACTAAACAGTAGTAGAAAGAAAAGGTTGAGAAGGTGGTGTAGAGAGAAACCGAAGAGAGAGTTGCCGAGAGAGAGAGGTTGCCCTCTTCATCTCAGAGAGAGTTTATGCATGTTGTGTGTGTGTGTGGCTACTGTGTGTCTGTGGAGAGAGACCCAGCTAGAGAGAGATGAGAATGGTTGATCTTTGTATGTAGAGAAGTCGCCTCTGGTGGAGGCGAACTGGAAGCTATATGTATTGATAGAGATGACAGCGGAATAGGTTGAGGTCCGGCAGGCGGCTAAGGTGAGGTTGCCGCCCGCCGGGGAAGCGAAAATACTAGGTTCTAAACCTGCTCTGATACCATGTAGAAATTTAATGTATAAAGAGAAATAGAGAATTGTATAGATATTGATTGTATTATTGATTGATGTATATTGTGTAAATTACAAACATGAGAGGCTCCTTATATAGGAGATGTAGATGAAGTGGGTGGAGTAAGTGGAGTAGGTGAAGTGGGTGGAGTAGGTGTAGTAGGTGGTAGTGGTAGTGGTAGTGGTAGGTTTTAACAGTAAGCACTCGCAGAGCCATGATGGAGGCCGAGCTGGTATTCATACAATCTTTGTTGACAATATTCCCTCATCCTTGAGCTCGAAGGGGCTCAATGACCTGTTCATGAAGTTTGGAATTGTTCGAGATGTATTCATTCCAAATAAGTTAGGGAAATCTACGCGGTCCAGGTATGGTTTTGTCAGGTACGATTGTCCTGTAGCTGCTGAAGTGGCAATCCAAAAAGCTAATGGGCTGTGGTGTGATGATAAAACCTTGAGAGTTAAGAGAGCAGAGTTTGAAAAGAAAGCATCAGGTGGCAAAGGACGTCAAGATGGGCAACCAGGGAATGGATCTGGAAGAGAGGAGGGAGGATCTCGGTGGCAAATGGGCCAAAAAGTTCAAACAAACATAGGCTATCGGTCATATGCAGAAGCAGTGCAGCTGGGAGCCAGCAAGGAAAGTGTGGGTCCCTCGGTGGTAGCCCATGAGGCAGGTAATGGATGGCTATATGATAGCCTTATTGTTAAGTTGAAAAGCTATTACTCATTTTCAAACTTCCAAAAAGCAGTCATGGAAAAAGGATCAGCAGAAATTCTGGTTAGGAGGGGGGGAGGAAGAATGGCAGTGGTGTCATTTAAATCATCTGATGATATGAAGGAAAATGCATCAATATTAAAGGATTGCTTGCATGAATGGTGCGAATTAGTTTCAGAGTGAAAGAAGTTCGGGCACATAGAGCAAGAATGTGGAGTTTGGTTGAGCTATTATGGAGTTCCACTTAATTTATGGAGTTCAGACACCTTTAACAAGATTGGGAGATTGTGGGGTGAGGTAATCAGGTTGGATGAGGAGACAACTAACCAGTTATCTTTCAAATGTGGCAGAATTAAAATTGTTACCTCTTGTATGGGGTATATTAATTCAATTGTTCAGGTGAGGTGTTCTGGCAGAAATTATCCAGTTAGAGTATGTGAGGAACAAGTTAGGGTATCTAAAGTTATTACAGAAGCTTGTAAGTGCTCTCTTCATGAAAGATGTAGCTCAAACAATATGGAGAACATGTATGGCAGTAATGGTGAGCGAGTAGCAGAGGAGGTGGCTGAGGTGGAAGGAGAGTTGCAATTTGCAATGGCAGATATTGGTGAGCAGACCGTCCAGAAGAGGAATGGCATGGCAGCTTTGCAAAAGGATGTTGGGGCGCATGGTACACAAGGGTCAGGTGAGTGGGAGGTGGACGATTCATCTCAGTCGATAGTGGGAGAAACAATCATTCCAAGTATGGGAAATTTAAAAGTGGCAGAAGCATGCAACAGTGGAAAAGATACTGTTATTGCAACGGTAAACAAGAGGGGGAGTAATGAGAGGAAGGGAGAGGATGAGGAAATTGTGACTCCTGGGTTTATGAAAAGTATAAGTGGATCTGGAATTGAGAGGCCTGGGATTCGAATTCAAGTATTGTTAGAGGAGGCCCAAAATAATAAGGTTGTGTCTAGGCCCAACCCAGAAGTTGTGAGTGTGGGCTTGATGGATATAGGCCAGAATGTGGGCCAGAATGTGGATCGAAGAGTGATGAAATCTCAACATTGCAAGCTAGTAGGGAAGGAAAAAGCTCTTGCGCCCAGGTTGAAGGGAGAGAGTGGTAAGTTAGCTCAGAAAGAGGGAAAGGGAGGTCGAATTGGCGGACCATCTGCTATAGGAGTGTGGCATAAAGGACCTGCATTCAGAGTTGCTGCGGCTGTTTTATCTCGGTCAAGCTCGGCTTGTATGGCAGAGAAGGGTGATGACCAAGTCCTTCAGGAAGCACGGAAGACAGTGGAGGTGGGTAAATCTTTGGGCATCAGTTTTAAAGGGAAGGAAAAGGAAGTAGTTCACAGAATTATGGAGCTGGAAAAAAATGATGTGGAGAGGGCAACTCAAAGGGATGAAACTGTCTTAGTTTAGACGGTTTTCATGGGTGATTTAGGTGTTTCCTTTGAGGTTTCCAATGAAGTTGCTGTCTTGGAATATTAGGGGGTTTGGAAGGCCGGAAAAGAGAAGAAGAATCAGGTCTCTACTTAAAGAGAGAAAAATTGATTTTGCCTTTTTTCAAGAGACTAAGAAAGAAGGTATGTCAGACGATTTGGTTCGATCGATTTGGCATGTTGATGAATTGGAATATATGGTTGTTAATGCGGATGGTTCGGCTGGTGGGCTGCTGTGCGTGTGGAAGCCTTCAGTGTTCTCATTATCTCAGTGTTGTGGTTCAAGAAGGTTTCTCTTACTGTCAGGTACATTACTTCCAGATTTTAGGTGTGTTTTGGTTAATGTCTATGCGCCAAATGATGCAGTATGTAGGAGGCAAGTGTGGAAAGTTATTACTAGTCTCAATCTAGGATTTCCAGATCCTTGGTGTGTAGGAGGGGATTTTAATGAAATTAGAGATTTAGGGGACAGAAGAGGGTGTTTAAGAAGGGATAAAGGGATGGTAGAGTTTAACGAATTTATTGAAGGGTTAGCCTTGTATGATGTCCCAATGCATGGCAGGCAATTTTCTTGGAGTAATTCAGAAGATGGGGGTAAGTGGAGTAGAATTGACAGAGTTCTTCTAGCGCCTGAGTGGTTGAGTAGGTTTAATTTTAAGCTGTGGGGCCTTCCAAGGGGTGTGTCTGACCATTGTCCATTGGTATTGATGGAGGATGAGAGGGACTGGGGGCCAAAGCCATTTAGGTTCTTAAATGCTTGGTTGTTACATCCTAACTAGCCACACTCACATGAGAGGCCGATGGATGAAAATGAAGTGCCTCGAAATGCGTGCACACGGGCACGCAAACCGAGGCAATGGCATATGCAATGCAATAGCATGGAAAATGATATGCAAACATGCTAATGGAATTTCAGCACTGAAATGTGGGGGAAAACAGCCCCGAAATAAGACGAGAGTACACCCGATGCATGGAATAGTCCCGAAACATGAATTTTGGCACCCGAAATGGCCTATAGCTATACCAAACATGCACAATATGGACATGCAATGAATAGACAGTAGCAAGGCAGCCCCAAAATTAGCATTTTTACAGTTCAAAGCATGGCCAAACAGAAAACATAAATAGGGCAAAATTAGCATGCAAAAATGGCCCTAAATATGAGACAAAGAAGCAACTCACAGCTGCTGACCCCAAACAGGTTAGGGACCTTCTACAATATTGAAGAGGGGCAAAAAATATGATGTTTTACAGAACTGTAAAAACCCCCAAAACAAACATAGGTATGGCTAAGCTCTTATGCAAGAATTGGACCGAAAAATGGACAAAGAAGCAAGTGGTAGATTCAAAGCCCAAACAAAAAAAAACTCTTCTACAACACTAAAAAGGGGCTAAAAATATGAACATTTACAGTAGATGGCAAGCCCCAAATCAATATACAAACATGCTCAAAATGCAACGCAAGATATAGGCCAACAAAGGGGTATAACAAGAAGTATGCAAAATATTCATCAAACAGCCAAGGACCCTTAATGAAACATGACAAGGGGGTCAAAATATGGCCACTTTCAGTTCTGATCATGGCTGAAAAACAGAAGCAAGATAAGCTAAAAAAACATGCAAAAATGAGGACCAAAGAGGGGTATAATGGTAAGTGATACATGGAGGTCCCAAATAGGGTAAGACCCTTAATGAAAGATGAAAATAAGCTCAAAATATGGCCACTTTCAGTTTTGGTCGGAACTCAAATGTATAAGCAAGAAGGGCTAAGATATAGACCAAGAAAAGAGCAAAAAAGGAAAAAACGAGACTCACCCTTGAAGACTAGTCTTTAGCAACCTCTTGGCTTGAGAAAAAGATGCTCCTTGCCTCTGGAAATGACCTCCAAACTGCTGGTATAGAGTGGTGGTGGTGGTGCTAGGTGGTGGTGAAGGAATGGTGAAGAAATGGTGTAGGGGACTTGGAGTTTTGATGGTTGGAATATAGAGAGAGAGATATATATAATATAGGAGCTCTAAACAAAAATTTCTAACCCTTTAATCTGAAGGGGAGGGGCTGTATATATAGGCAAAAGGGGTGGAAAAAGAGGGGGAAAAAATGGGGGGAAATTCGGATTCAAAATTCCCCCCAAAAAGGCCAAAAGGGTGAGACAAAGAGGGAAGTGGTAGCTGCGGGTCCCAAATGGCCAAGAGCCCTTCAACAAAGTTGAAAAGGGGCTCAAAACAAGGAACTTTGTAGTTTATATCAAGCCACGAAAATAAATACACGTAGGCCTAAACTATCGTGCAAGAAAAGGGAAAAATAGAGGGGTAAAGAAGGGAGTGATAGATGGAGATGTCAAACATCAAGAGGTCCTCAATCAAACATGAAAAGGAGCTCAAAATATGACTATCTCAAGTTCGGGTTAAAGCCCAAAAATGAAAAATGAGGGTTTAGGAGCCAAAACACGCAGTTCGGGGCCCCGAAAGTGGGCTGTTAGGCACCGGAAGTGGTGTCCGACCATGAAGTTGGTCTCTTGGACCACAGTGTCCCTCAAAAGGGAGCAAATAATACGCATGCCAAAAATCGGAGCAAATGGAAGTGGTTAGGCGGTCCCGAACCGAGGCACACGGCCTGACGGCTCCGAAAACCGGGAATCGGGCTCCGAAACGGGCAAAATGGCCTACGACCACGAAATGTAGCCCACGGCCACTGAGAGATGGTCTACGAGACCTCTCCCTCCCCTCAGGAAAAGAAACAAAGAAAATCGAGTCTGGTTCGCGAACCGAGGCAAGGTACAAAAGAATCCGAAAGTCCGGAGGCAAGGCTCGCAGCCGAGACTCTGAAACTTCTGAACGAGCACAATATGCAACATCACCGAGCGCTTAATCGGTGACGTCTGAGTCTTAAGGTCGGTCAAAAATGGGGTGTCTACAGTGAGCAGACCGTCCAGAAGAGGAATGGCATGGCAGCTTTGCAAAAGGATGTTGGGGCGCATGGAATACAAGGGTCAGGTGAGTGGGAGGTGGACGATTCATCTCAGTCGATAGTGGGAGAAACAATCATTCCAAGTATGGGGAATTTAAAAGTGGCAGAAGCATGCAATAGTGGAAAAGATACTGTTATTGCAACGGTAAACAAGAGGGGGAGTAATGAGAGGAAGGGAGAGGATGAGGAAATTGTGACTCCTGGGTTTATGAAAAGTATAAGTGGATCTGGACTTGAGAGGCCTGGGATTCGAATTCAAGTATTGTTAGAGGAGGCCCAAAATAATAAGGTTGTGTCTAGGCCCAACCCAGAAGTTGTGAGTGTGGGCTTGATGGATATAGGCCAGAATGTGGATCGGAGAGTGATGAAATCTCAACATTGCAAGCTAGTAGGGAAGGAGAAAGCTCTTGCGCCCAGGTTGAAGGGAGAGAGTGGTAAGTTAGCTCAAAAAGAGGGAAAGGGAGGTCGAATTGGCGGACCATCTGCTATAGGAGTGTGGCATAAAGGACCTGCATTCAAAGTTGCTGCGGCTGTTTTATCTCGATCAAGCTCGGCTTGTGTGGCAGAGAAGGGTGATGACCAAGTCCTTCAGGAAGCACGGAAGACAGTGGAGGTGGGTAAATCTTTGGGCATCAGTTTTAAAGGGAAGGAAAAGGAAGTAGTTCACAGAATTATGGAGCTGGAAAAAAATGATGTGGAGAGGGCAGCTCAAAGGGATGAAACTGTCTTAGTTTAGACGGTTTTCATGGGTGATTTAGGTGTTTCCTTTGAGGTTTCCAATGAAGTTGCTGTCTTGGAATATTAGGGGGTTTGGAAGGCCGGAAAAGAGAAGAAGAATCAGGTCTCTACTTAAAGAGAGAAAAATTGATTTTGCCTTTTTTCAAGAGACTAAGAAAGAAGGTATGTCAGACGATTTGGTTCGATCGATTTGGCATGTTGATGAATTGGAATATATGGTTGTTAATGCGGATGGTTCAGCTGGTGGGCTGCTGTGCGTGTGGAAGCCTTCAGTGTTCTCATTATCTCAGTGTTGTGGTTCAAGAAGGTTTCTCTTACTGTCAGGTACATTACTTCCAGATTTTAGGTGTGTTTTGGTTAATGTCTATGCGCCAAATGATGCAGTAAGTATGAGGCAAGTGTGGAAAGTTATTACTAGTCTCAATCTAGGATTTCCAGAACCTTGGTGTGTAGGAGGGGATTTTAATGAAATTAGAAATTTAGGGGACAGAAAAGGGTGTTTAAGAAGGGATAGATGGATGGTAGAGTTTAACAAGTTTATTGAAGGGTTAGCCTTGTATGATGTCCCAATGCATGGCAGGCAATTCTCTTGGAGTAATTCAGAAGATAAGGGTAGTTGGAGTAGAATTGACAGAGTTCTTCTAGCGCCTGAGTGGTTGAGTAGGTTTAATTTTAAGCTGTGGGGTCTTCCAAGGGGTGTGTCTGACCATTGTCCATTGGTATTGATGGAGGATGAAAGGGATTGGGGGCCAAAGCCATTTAGGTTCTTAAATGCTTGGTCGTTACACCCTAAATTTCTAGATGTGGTCAAGCAAGTGTGGGAGGCTTCAAATGTCTCTGGGTGGGCGGGGTTTGTCATTACTACAAAACTTAGATATCTCAAGATGGAATTGAAAAAGTGGAATGATGAAGTGTTTGGCAATGTTTCCTACTCCCTCAAAAAAGCAGAGGTGAAGCTTCATGAGCTTGATCTGGTGGCTGAGGCTAGAGACTTGTCAGAGGCTGAGATTGTCAGATGAAGGGAGGTCAAAAAGGAGGTGTGGTCTCTTAGGAAAAGGGACGAGTGGCTTTGGCTTCAGAAGTCTAGACTAGACTGGAGCTTGAAGGGGGATAAGAATACAAGGTATTTTCATATCATTACATCCTCTAGACAGAATCGAAATTTGTTGAATTCAATTACAGTGGAAGGGGTACTCTTTGAGGATCCCATTTTGGTGAAGCAGGAGGTGTTAAAGCATTTTAAAGGCTTATTCTCTGAAAATTGGAGGAATAGGCCAAACTTGATGGGTCAATTTAAATCTATTGGTCAGGATCAAGTGGCTGGAATTCTGGAAGCAGATTTTTCTAAGGATGAGGTGTGGAGTGCTATTAGGAGTTGTGATGGGAATAAGTCTCCCGGTCCTGATGGGTTTAATCTGATGTTCTTTCAGAAGTGTTGGGATTGTTTGAAGTCTGATGTCCTTCAATTTTTCAAAGAATTTTATGAAAATGGGAAATTGGGGGCTGGTGTGAATAATTCTTTTATCACTTTGATCCCAAAAATTGAATGCCCTTCTAGTTTATCAGATTTTAGACCGATTAGTCTCATTGGGTCTCTATACAAGATTGTAGCTAAGGTTTTGTCTAATAGAATCAAGAAGGTGATGCCTAAGGTGGTTGGAGAGGTTCAATCAGCGTTTTTGGGAGGTAGAAACATTTTTTATGGTGTACTCATTGCGAATGAGATTGTTGATTAGTGGAAAGGGAGTCGGAGAAAAGGGTTGATCCTCAAGTTGGATTTTCAAAAGGCATATGACTCTGTCAGTTGGGAGTGTCTCGTATCTATGATGGAAAATTTTGGGTTCGGAGCTAGGTGGAGATGGTGGATCAATAAGTGTTTAACATCGGCCAGAGTGTCTGTGTTAGTGAATGGCTCCCCTACGGCTGAGTTCATTCCTGAAAAAGGCCTTAGGCAAGGTGATCCGTTGTCTCCATTCCTTTTCAATTTGGTAGCTGAAGGTCTGAAAATGTTAATAGAAAGAGCCAGATCACTGAGGCTGGTTAGGGGAGCTGTGGTGGGTAAAAATGAAGCGGT